GGGAAAGAGGGAGGGGCAATATAGGAGTGAAGGGAAACAAAGGGTTATTATAGGATTACATGAAATCATCTGTGTGAAACTTAAAAATTATAAAGCACTACAGAATTCAAAGATGCTTTTATTCAATTAAAAAACCCAACCTATGGGTAGGTACTATATTATTATCGTCATTTATATACATTTTAAAAAACTCAAAAGTTACTGATCTTGAAGAGAACTTATGACCCAAATTCCATGTATCTACCATTACACCTTCCCATTACACCTTGCTGATCTGGGGTAAGGATAAACCCAGACTCCTTAACATGGTCTGGATATAATAAGGAGTAGAGTACATTTCCCAGAACTGAAAGAAAGCTGATGTAGCTGGAAAGCAGAGAGGTGAGAGTGGAGGGACCTTAGATGCCATATTAAGGAGTTAGAATTTATCCCAAAGGTGACGAGAAGCTGCTAAAGGGTTTTAAATAGAGGAGTGAAATTATAAATTATGATTTTTTTGACAAGGGGTCTGCAAACCTTTTTTGTAAAACACCAGATAGAAATATTTTAGGCTTTACAAGCTATATAGTCTCTTGCAACCACTCAACTCTGCCATCATAGAGTAAAGCAGTCATACACATTACATAAATCAGTTTGGCTGTGTTCCAGTAACATTTCACTTATGGACACTGAAATTTGAATTTCACTATCATGTATTTTTAATATCATATATTTTAAAGTGTTTTGATACTATTTTTCTTTTGATTTTTTTCAGCGATTTAAAACTGTAAAAAGCCATTTTGGGGCTAGATTTGGCTGGCAGGCCATAGTTTGCTGACCCTAATTTAGAAGATGTTCACTTAGGCTACAGTGTAAAGCAGACAAAGAGGTCCTTTCTGGCTCATTTCCTCAGGTCCAGTACCCACATACTGACTTTTTAATATTCAAGGCCTACTGATATCATGCTATATGTCTTTTATCCTTCTATCTCTGATAGATGCTAATGCAAAAAGAATATTCTCAGGTTAACCATTATACTTTTTTGGTGACCCCTTTGCATTCAATGTGGTCATATTTTTATTCTCTTAAGGAAGAGATATCTTGGTGGTAGAAGATAATTTACATGTAGGAATAATCCTGTTTATTTTAAAAACTTTTAAATTCAAAGAGGTAATATTTCTCAGTATATAGGCTAGATGATAATTTAAATACTAATATTTGATCTATTAGAAAACATGATAAATTCTTTAGACAATTTCAACATGGAGCTTCAAATGTATATAGTAGAATCATGAGCTTAAATGGAGCTTTGTTTAAGGCCTTAATGCTTTCTTAAGGCTCTTAATGCTTCCTTAAGGCAGATCTTGGGCTATAAATAAGCAAAGTTACATAGGAAGAATAAGGATGTAGCATTTTGATTGTTCACTTTTACAAATAAAAAGGAAAGTAAAACTATTTCTCTCATTCCCTTATTTTAGGTTTTTACCTTTTACTAGTAAATATCCTTATGGGTTAGGGTTAGGGTTAGCCTATCAGCAGAAAGCCTATTTGGCTTTAAACTAACATGGAGACTTTCTTTATATTGTTACTGCCTAACTGAGACTAAATGCTGAAACAGATATGATTTGAAAAAAATTTATAAGATGGCTTTGATGATTATTTATTAATAGCCAAAGAAGCAAAAATTACAGAGCAATATAATAATACATTGAGAAAGAAAGTTTACCAGACACTAAATATTTAAATACTCATCTCTTCAGTTTTTATCTTTGCTAGAAAAAAGACTGGGACTATAGCCATAAAAAAAATAAAGAAATATGAAGAAAATCTACCTTTACTTGTGAGTAGTGTCAGAGGTGAGAAAGTGGAGATAAAGAGTGAAAGTCATTGGGGTCAGAAAATCTAAAAGGTGTTGTAATTAAATTTCTGACACTGTGATGTCTGCATGCATAGACTTTGGTGAAAATAATAAAATGTTCCCTTCATATACTAATATGCCTGATCAATTTGACCAACAAAAGGCTCATACATGTGAAGTAATTAGATTTTTTTCATGATCAATGAAAGCACAATTTAACTGAATGATGCAAAATTAGAATTTAAATAACAAATTCATTCCAAAGTCATGAACCCATATTAACATCTAAAGCATCAAAGCTTAATTTAAACTACAAAATGTCTTCATTTGTGCAGAAGATTCAGGTAAAAGAGCCTTCGAGAAGTTTTTGTTGTTTTCAAGAAGCTTTTGCTTCATTGTTTCATTGACAACAGTGAAATCTCTGTGGAGCACAATATGCTGGAAAACCAGGAACCCCACCTTTGTTTATCTGATTTCACTGGACGCTGTGGTGAAAGATCTTATAAAATAAGAACCTGATACAGAGCACAAAGATCTGTAAGAAACTGGTTGATTTTACTGTTCCGAAGCTAATAAATGGAGGACTAAAGCATATTTGAATTTATATCCTCTTGGATCCACTTTGCACTGTGGATACTTTAAAAATACAAGTGAGAACATTCATAATATGTTGCTTCTCACTAAAATCGAAGGGACAAACTGAGCACATTCAAGATCTAGGGGACATGTTTTGCCCTATGTCCTGGTTTCTGAAGCTGTACTTCCTTTAGAGAATGGATTAGAAAGACATTTAAGCTTGTTAGATACAAAGGTGTCATCCCCTCATATCAACGTACATGAGGAGAAACATTCAAGAATTACAAATTCTTAGAAAACTTAAAAAATCCTTTGGGTCTGGCAAGGAAAATGTCAACAAGTCAAAAGAGACTAGATGGCTATTGACCAGTTTCATGAAGGCAGAGCTGCAAGCCAGGATGGAATAATACTTTCCCACCATGTGTCGAAGGCACAAATGACACTAATCCTTTTTAATGGTCACAAAAGCTGACAACTTACTCAGCCTTAGAACTGAAGGCACAAAATCATCTCTGGGAATGACTCACCATAAACAGGTCACGAGCACCAATGTCAACAGCTAACAGAAATGCCTTTTCAAATCTCTGGTACCTATAAGGTAGAAAAGAAATGTTATATGTTGTAAACAAAACTACAGAAGGGGAGAGATCAGTTTGTTTAATTTACTTATGTGTTACTGTTTTTGTTCTGATACGAAAAATATTCTCAAACAGGAGGGACTTTGCCTGCTGGGATCTTCCTTATGTGAACTCTTATTGTACTTAGGAGGAGCTGAGGCACACAGACAGCCCTGTGGAGGTGTTCAGTGCAACTTTCAAAGATAAACATAACCAGATTAGGTGCTGCTGAATGTAGAGAAATGATAGCTTAGGAAATAATGTTTTTCATTATATTTTACTTTGTTGTGTTTTGTTATGTAAGAGAAAAGTATGGGGATATGGAGAATATAGCAGGATAAGAGCAATTAATAAATCATATAATTATACTTTTATGTTTCTTAGGTAAAAGTTAAGTCAAATGTTGCATTATTACAAAACTTTCATATTTGTGAGTTTGGAAAAAATACGTTCTCCTCTGTTGTAAATGAAAATAATAAATGGTTTCTAAAATTTTTTGTTTTCTTGGAGTATAGTTGCTTTACACTGCCATGTCAGTTTCTGCTGTATGTATAGCAAAGTGAGCCATACATATACAAATATCCCCTCTTTTTCGGATAAGTATTTTTTTAAGATACCACTTTTCTACTCTTTTATCCTATCTTTCCTTGAGGTAAAACTGAGAATTTTCTTTGTGAAAGTTTAATTTTAGGCTAAAATACATGAGAACAAACTTCAGTTTAAATTAATTACCTCTGTAGAAATTTTAAAATCCTGAGAGAAAAGCATGTCATGAACATACAATTTGCACAGGATTTTGGAATGAAAGTTCATCTTTATTTTGTCTAAATGTTGAGACTTACATATAACTGTCAGTCTTTCTGACTCAAGAAACAAGAAGATAAATAACCGAGTTGTTCTCTGTTCTCTGTTTTATGTTGTGAAATAAAATGGTATAAAATATAATGATGCGCCACAACAAGAGAAGCCACCACAATGAGAAGCCTGCGCACTACAACGAAGAGTAGCCCCTGCGTGCCACAACTAGAAAAAAGCCCTCATGCAACAATGAAGACCCAACACAGCCAAAAATAAACAAATAATCAATTTATTTAAAAAAATATAGATTTCAAATAAAATGTGTCAGAAATGTAGAATATAAATTATTATTGACAGAGTACATACATTTATTAGTGAAATAGCTAATATAATTAAAATTCAAACACACAAGGCTTATTATTATTCCATATGAGCTGGTAGGTCCAGAACCTGAAACACTTCACAGTTTCCATGCTGTGTTTGATTACTGTTATCCCATCTCCTCCCTGGCTCTACTTACTAGTATCTCCAGTATTTGCTTGAATCCCTTTCAACTATGGAAGATCAGAATAAAATTGTGTTTATTTTTGTTCCAGGAAGCTGAATGATTCATTATATATACAGTGGAAATGGGATGTAATGAGGAATAAGACAGAGGATCAGCAAGTTGTACTACTCTTCCATACATTCACTGCCATCTTGCATTTGTTGCCACTCCAATGAAACTTTTCTAGCAGTAATAAATTATCCAGACTTAAAGATAAGTTCTTGTCTTGTGTGCCCTTTTGGCCATATCTGACCCTATTAACTTCCCCTCCTTGAAACCCTCTCTTTCCTTGCATTTGGAGATTCAATCTTTGTTTTCTCAATTCTTAGAATTCATCTTCTTAGTCTTCTTTTTAAGTTAATTTTTCTTTGCCTACTCCATGAAGTTTTCCCCAGTAACCTTATCCACTCCTATGGCATTGATAATTATATCAATGACCCATAAATCTCTAGAATCCATTTATTTCCTGAGCTCCAAACTCTTTACTTCCAGGAAACTCAAATTTAACATGTCTAATATGTCCACTGATAAATTTGATTAATATGATTAATTGAAATTGGGAAATATGAAATTAAGGTGGACAGGTCAGGAGGTACTCTTCATTCTAGGTGAGAGGTAATGATTAACATTATGATAAAATGAAAGAGTTGGCATTGGCATCTGGCAGTATGTTCAACCAAAAATATCAAAGAGTGCTCCCCAACTAGATTGCTTATAAAATATATGTTAAAGTACAACACAGGACTATAAAAAAAGGGAAATTTCCAAGGGTACCACACTCTCAGTAAAAAAAATAACCAACTAACCGAAGTCACTTGATTGAAACTACAGTAAGGATCCCTGAGCAGAGAGCAAAAATGGGGGGAAAAAAGGCAGAACTACTCTGGGTCATCACCCTCAGTAGACTGAGCCCTGAACAAGTCTCAAGGTAAAGGGGCTGAGCCTGAGACTTTTGATTAAGACATGGGCTAAAGTGATCCCAGGTTATTAGTGCCCCTAACTTTGGTAGAAAAAATAAAAAGAAAATTCATGTCTGGATTAAAGCACTTTTGATAGAAGCCATCAGGACTGCCATAAATTAAAATAAAACAAGTATGAGTTCACAATGAAAGATCACTGAATACAAAAGAAAACAAGCTACTGTGATGGAAAATTAGAAAATAAACAACAGATTTACTTCTCCAGGGATTTCAGATCACTGAATTATTAAAGCTAGAATATAAAATAATTCAGCATAAGATTTTAAAAGAAATAATTATGGAACCATGAAAATAAGCATACAACAGGATATAATAAAAAAAAAATAACCAGGTAGATTTTTAAAGAAATAAAATAGAACTTTTGGAAATGAAAACCTGAACTGGAGTTAAATAATTTGTCACAAAGAGAGAATTAGTGAAGTAAAAGAGGCATAAGTAAGGAATTACAGAAAATGTACAGAGAAATAAATATAAAGAGAAATTAGCAATACAGAGAACATGGAAAAGTCTAACATGTCTAATCAGGTAATTAAGTTAAAGGCTGAGAATTTTCCAAAGCTGATAAATGATATGAATCAATAAACACAAGAGGGACAATATATATCAAGCAGGATAAACTGAAAATCTATAATTATGGACATCTGTAATGGAATTGCAGAACTCCAAAAATAAAAAGATATTAACTGCCAGAGAGAAGACAGATCACCTACAAAGGAACTACTGATACAGACACCAGACTTCTCAATGGCAACGATGGGATGTAGAGGACATTAGGGATATACTTGCAAATTATAGAGAGAATAAGCATTACTCTTGTATAATATGACAGTGGAACTTTCTTTCAACAATTAGAGAAAAATAAAGACTTTCAGATGTACAAAAACTGAAAGCATTCAATAGATCTTCCACAAAGGGACTTCTAGGGAACATAACTCAGGAAAAAGGAAAACGATCCCAGAAGGAAGGTTTGAGAAGCAAGAAGGAATGGATTCAAAAACAAAGATTTGGTTAATATACAGTTAAATACACACAGACATACAATCACACACACAAATGGTCTGATGTTTTTAAGATCAGAAAATACTAATTACATATATCATGTAAATCAAGTACTAAGGTCTTTGCTTTTTGTACTGTTGAAGATAATAATTGTTTGATTTTGGTAACTATGCATAGTCAGATTTCAAATAGTAACCACTAAAAGATTGTATAAATTGCTCCAATAGCAGTATAGGTAGAGTGGGGTTGAGGCTGAGTGAACTGAAAAAGAAAAAAATTCAAGAAGTATTAAAAAAAAACAAGAACAGTGGATCTATGCTGGTGCCCTGGTAAAAACAACTGAGAGACAACAGGGCCAATTGCCGGCATACCCACAGTTAAGGTGCGACCAAGAGCAGTGCCAACAACCGTGTAATCTGAGAGCTCGCACAACGGGTGAAAGGTGACACAACAGAGCACACCCAGGTGAGCAGCTCCAGAGGAGGAATACTCAGTGGCTTCTCTCCCAGTGGGAGTGCTCCAATCCCACCTACCTCACACCACAGATCAGAACACAGGTAAGAAGCGGCTCTGGGGGCCTCTACTCCAGCAATTAGGGAGCAGACCATGTCCCTGTCAAGGCAGTGACAACCACAGAGCATGTCTAATATGTCCACTGTCAATTTGGCAACCATATATACGATTAATTGAAATTCGAAAAAATGAAATTAAGGTGGACAGGTTAGGAGGTATTCTTCTTTCTAGGTGAGTAACGATTAACATTATGATAAAATGAAAGAATTGGCATTGGCATCTGGCAGTATGGACAACCAAAAATATCAAAGGGAGCTCCCAACTAGATTGCTTAGAAAATATATGTTAAAGTACAACACAGGACTCTAAAGAAAGGAAATTTCCAAGGGTACCACACACTCAACCAAAAAATAACCAACTAACCAAAGTCCCTTGATTGAAACTAGAGTAAGAATCCCTGAGCAAAGAGCAAAAATGGGGGTGGGGGAGGCAGAACTACTCTGGACAGTAGTTGAAGAATGGGATGTAGAAGACAGTAGGGACATATCTTCAAATTATAAAGAGACGAAAAGCATTACTCTTGTATAGAATTTGAAAAAGAAAAGATACACGTATATGTATAACTAAATCACTTTGCTGTACACCTGATCATAATATTGTTAGTCAGCGATACTCCAATATAAAATACAAAGTTAAAACAGAAAGGAAAATCCTAAAGATGCTACCAGAAAACTACTAGAGCTCATCAATGAATTTAGTACAGTCGCAGGATACAAGATTAATACACAGAAATCTCTTGCATTCCTATATACTAACAACAAAAGATCAGAAAGATAAATTTAGGAGACAATCCCATTTACCATCACATCAAAAAGAATAAAATACTTAGTAATAAACCTACCTATGGAGGCAAAAGACCTGTATTCAGAAAACTACAAGGTGCTGATGAAAGAAATGAAAGATGACACAAACAGATGGAGAGATACACCATGTTCTTGGACTAGAAGAATCAATATTGTCAAAGTGACAATACTACCCAAGGCAATTTACAGATTCAATGCAGTCCCTATCAAATTACCAATGGCATTTTTCACAGAACTAGAACAAAAAATCTTAAAATTTGTATGGCTACACAAA